TTGTACCAGTACAGGTTAAAAGCTCAAAAGGAAGTAAGATTCTGCACACATATGCCTTTCTTGATCCTGGTAGCTCGGCAAGCTTCTGCACAGAGGATCTTATGAGGAAACTCAACATTACTGGAAGAAAGACCAATATTCTTCTTCGAACAATGAGCCAGGATAAGTCTGTGCCCTCGTACATTGTCAGTGGGTTGGAAGTGTCTTCACTGGAAGAAAGTAACTTCATCCACCTGCCAGAAGTATACACCCAAAAGATCATGCCTGTTGACACCTGTAACATTCCCACAAAGGAAGAACTATCTAAATGGCCATACCTGAGTCAGGTACAGTTTCCTAGGATTCCAGCCAAGGTGGAGTTGTTGATTGGAAGCAATGCTCCCAAAGCCATTGAACCTTGGGAAATCCTTAATAGCCAAGGGGATGGGCCATATGCAGTTAAGACCCTACTAGGATGGGTTATTAATGGTCCTTTACAAGGCAAAAACACAGCAAACAGGAACAGTTGTGATGGTGGTGTTGTTAACAGAATTTCTATCTTGAACTTGGAAGAAATGTTGATGCAACAATACAACCATGATTTTAATGAGCGTTCATGTGAAGAGAAGGCTGAAATGTCTATAGAAGACAAAAGATTCATCAAGATTGCAGAACAGTCAATAAAATTAAAAAATGGACATTACACTCTTAATCTACCTTTTAGGAAGGACGACACAGTGTTGCCTAACAATTACCAAGTGGCAGAACAGCGACTTCAAAGTTTGAAAAGAAAGTTCAAGAGGAATGAAAAATTCAAAACCGAATATACTGAATTTCTAACAGAAGTCATAAAAAAGGGCTATGCTGAAGTGGTGCCGCAACAAGAGCTGAAAAGATCAGATGGTAAATTGTGGTACATCCCACATCATGGTGTATACCATCCTCAAAAACAGACCATAAGGGTGGTCTTTGACTGTGCTGTTACTTTTCAAGGTAAATCCCTCAACTCAGAACTTCTTCAGGGTCCTGATTTGACCAGTACACTTTTTGATGTTTTGACCAGATTTCGCCAAGAATCTGTAGCAGTTATGACTGATATCAAAGCAATGTTCCATCAGGTCAGAGTGTCAAGATCAGATGTTGACTTCTTGCGATTCCTCTGGTGGCCAAGTGGTGATGTCAGCATGCCTGCTGTGGAACATCGAATGATGGTACATCTATTTGGGGCAGTCTCATCCCCCAGCTGTGCAAACTTTGCTCTGAGGCAAACAGCCAAAGACAACAAAGAATGTTTTCGAACTGAGGTGATAAACACGGTTGAGAACAACTTCTATGTAGATGATTGCTTGAAGTCCCTTCCAACAGAGCATGAAGCAGTAGAATTGGTGAAAGATCTAACATCTCTCTGTCAAACAGGAGGATTCCACCTCACAAAATGGGTGAGTAACAGTCGTACTGTTCTTGCACATATTCCAAAGGAAGACAGAGCTCAGAATGTAAGGGAATTGGATCTCGACAGGGAAAAGCTTCCCACTGAAAGAGCTCTTGGATTGTTGTGGTGCGTGGAGAATGATGTGTTTAGGTTCAATATCACTGTCAAGTGCAAATCCCACACCCGAAGAAACTTGCTATCAGTTGTGAGCTCCATCTATGATCCACTTGGATTTTTGAGTCCCTTTACTCTACCTGCCAAATTGCTTATCCAAGACCTCTGTAGGAGTAAATGTGGTTGGGATGAGGAAATACCACAGGCTGCAGTGGATAAGTGGACAAAGTGGATAAAGGATCTTGACGAGATAGAAGATTTCAGAGTGGCACGCTGTGTAAAGCCAACTGGTTTTGGAATGCTGAAGCAAGCAGAGCTGCATCATTTCTCTGATGCTAGTGAACAAGGATACGGCATAGTGAGTTACTTGAGACTGACTGATGATATGCACACTGTACATGTGTCTTTCATGTTGGGGAAAGCCAGAGTGGCCCCACTTAAGCACGTCACAATTCCACGTCTAGAACTTACAGCTGCAGTGCTAGCAGTCAGAGTCGACATTATGGTAAGGAAAGCTTTGGAGCTAGATCTCAAAGGCTCAACATTTTGGACTGATAGTCAGTCAGTGCTGAAATACGTTGCAAATGAGAATGCAAGATTCCGCACATTTGTAGCTAATAGGATCTCTGTTATTAGAGGAAACACAGATGTAAAACAGTGGAAATTCATCAGAACAAAGCAGAACCCAGCTGACCTAGCATCAAGAGGGGTTAGTGCCAGCACATTGGTGAAGTGCAAAGAGTGGATCCATGGACCAGACTTTCTATGGAAGAAAGAAGAGGAATGGCCTAAAGAGTCCCTGGGACCCATGTCTCTCTCTCTCGATGACCTTGAAGTTAAAAGGAACACCACTGTTTATAGCACTGTCATTAAAGAGAATGAAAATCCTACCAGCCAACTGCTTAACTATTTCTCAACTTGGACAAAGCTAAAGTTGGCAGTAGCATGGTTCTTGAAGTTCAAGAATATCCTTCGCTTGCTTATTGCAAAAAGAAAAGAGATACAGGCCACCTGCGTGAATAAGGACACTCAGAGCCAAAACAATGTATGTAATGAAATGAAAATATTCAAGACATCACTTTGTGGACAATCCATAGGCTTGGATGATCTCTTGAAAGCAGAAAAGGCCATTGTTGAGTTTTGGCAGAAACAAAGGTATGCAGAGGAAATGTCAAGAATTGGAAAGACATCACCTGCTGGAAAGCGCTTGAATAGATTCAGCAGCCTGTACAAGCTAGATCCTGTGATGGACGATGGAGTTTTGAGGGTTGGAGGAAGGTTGGACAAGTCTGCAATGCCTGAGGAGACCAAGCGACCTATAATACTTCCAAAAGATGTTCACATCTCCACACTTATCCTTCAACACATACACGAACAGCTCGGACATGCTGGCAGAAATCATGTTCTCTCACACCTGAGAAAGAAATATTGGATTATAAATGCCAATTCTGCAGCCCGTAAAGTTTTGTCTAAATGTGTTGTATGCAAGCGTGTAAGAGGAAAGATTGGAGAGCAAAAGATGGCAGATTTACCAAAGGAAAGACTACAAGCTGATCTTCCACCTTTCAGCAATGTTGGCGTTGACTACTTTGGACCTTTCATGACAAAAAGAGGAAGAAGTCAGGTAAAGAGATATGGGGTTATTTTCACTTGCATGACAAGCAGGGCAGTTCACCTAGAAATGGCTCACTCACTGAACACAGATTCCTGCATTGACGCTTTAAGAAGATTCATAGCCAGAAGGGGCCAAGTACTGCATATTCGCTCTGATAACGGAACTAACCTGGTTGGTGCAAAAAGAGAGTTACATAATTCACTTTCAGAATGGAACAAAAGCCGAATCCAGAAGGCAATGCTCCAGAAAGGAATTCAGTGGACGTTTAATCCTCCAGCAGCCTCACATCATGGGGGAGTATGGGAGAGACTCATTCGAATGGTGAGGCAGATCTTATGCTCTATTTTACAACAACACACCCTCGATGATGAAGGACTACAAACACACTTTTGTGAGATTGAAGCAATTCTGAATAGTCTTCCCATTACCACATTGTCTGATGACCATCATGATCTGGAACCTTTGACACCAAATCACATTCTTCTGTTAAAGTCTAGCCCTGCATTGCCTCCTGGATTGTTTCAAAGTTCAGACGTATACAGCAGACGTCGGTGGAGGCAAGTACAATATTTGTCAGACCTGTTTTGGAAGAGATGGTCCCAAGAATACTTACCATTACTACAGGAACGACAGAAATGGTTTACTGCAAAAAGAGGATTGCAGAAAGGAGATATTGTGCTAGTCGTGGACAGTTCAGCACCTCGTGGATCGTGGCCTATTGGAAGAGTAACAGAAGTTTTTCCTGATTCCAAAGGACTCATAAGAACTGTTAAACTTAAGACAAAGACTGGATTCTTGGAAAGACCCATTACCAAACTTTGCCTGCTATTGGAAGATGCAGAAAATTAGATCTGAAGCATAGTAGTGATGACTGAATGATTAAAGAATGAGTATTCATTTTCTTGTATAGACTCATTTGGCTCCATTTACATTTAATGTATTGTAATTGTTGCTTAAACGCTCAATTAGGGGCCGGGTGTAGGAGCCATACTTACCACCTTATTTAATTTTGATAAATTTGTTAATTTAAATATCAGAATGTTGTTGTATTGTTAATTGTGTTTATTTCTCTGAGTGTGTGCCCTCTATAGGTGAGAGGGGAAAAGTTGTATAAAGGATAGGCCACCCCTGACAGGAAGGGGGCGCTGGTGCAAGAGCACACAGTCTTTTGACCGTGCACATGGAGCTAGGGTGGCATGGTGCAACAAACCTGCAAGCGGCCTAAAAGTTGTTTGTTTTGTTTTATGTTACAATGCATCTTTATTTTTGATTTAATAAACTTCAGTTATTTGTTTGGAACATCAACACGCCTCTCTGGATCTATTCATGGTACTTTGCACGCGTTAGAACCATAGCATCAGCATCTCCCACAGTGGACAAGAAACTTGTTTTCACCACTACACTGCGCACATATTTTAAAAAGCACATAACTATAGAATTCTGAATGCGCATGTGAACGCCATCAGCGTTAATCACAGGTTCGCGTTTAAAGTCTGATCATTTCGACGGAGGTGAATCAATCAAAGTTAACTTTAGCTGGAAGTAACATTATTCAAGAACCGCTATAACGCCAAAACAATCTGTTACCTTAAATTATATGTTTATCTCTGTAAAGCTGCTTTGAAACAATCCATTGTTAAAAGCGCTATATAAATTTAGCTGACTTGACTTGACTTAATCGTCAATATAATCGACTGATTACTTGAACAACAAAAGGCTATTGTTAATTTGTTAAATTATCTGAGTACTCGATTAATCATCAAAATGATCGACCGATTACTTGAACACCTAAATGCTATTATCACCTGATAAATTATCTGAGTACTCGATTAATCATCAAAATATTGATTCGTGACTCACCGTCTTCGGTCTTCTCGTGGTCGGAGTATTTGAAGGCCTTGTGCAGCTCCTCAGCTTGGCTCCAGAGGTTCAGGCCCTTCAGCACGTCGGCGGCGGCGGCGCTCCAGGACGGGTTATTGGAGTGTTGCAGCATCACCTGACGCTTGATGGCCTTCAGCTCCTCGTACGTGAAGTACTCCATCAGCATGGGCTGATACACCTGAGAACACGCACAACACATCAGACGGACACAGAGAGAGACCACACATCTGACGGGACGAATGCAAATTTAACGTTAAAATAATGCACTTTAAATTATGCATTATGGATCTGCAGGAATGCCATTGCAAGATTCAATTTTATATATTTAAAGTAGTGTCGACCGATATTGTTTTTTTGATGGCCGATATCTTAGAGAGCAGGATTTTTTGCTTAAAACAAGCTAAATTATCTGCCGATGGGGTGAGAAAAATAATATTGTTATTTCTGTTTGAATTAAGATTAGTTTTCTCACCCCATTGGCAGATAATTTTACTTTTTTAAGCATCAACTCACTTAATTTTGATGAATTCTCCCGGAAAACAGGACTTAATATCTTATGTCATTTTACTCATCTAGTAAATGCATCTTGATTTAAGAATTTTTACATATTTGGACTGGAAACAAGACAAAAATACTGAGTAAGAAAAGCATTTTTTGCAGTGTATGCATAAATATATATATATACAGTATATACATACATGTTGTGTGTGTATTTATATATACAAAATAATTATACACAGTACACACACATATATTATGTAAACACAAACTTTTATTTTGGATGCGATTAATCGTTGCCCAGCACTAGTTAAAAATGAGTCTCACCTCCTCTTCCTCTTTCATATGAGGAAGGAAGTCCTGAGTGAACGCCTCCAGCCTCTCCTTCAGCTGCTGCGCGTAATTCAGCTGCTCGTACTCGCTCTGAAACACAACATCACGGCGAAAACAACACGTTTGAGCATGAGAGTTCTTCCCTATATCAGTGTCAGTGTTTCTGAACTCCTGAAACGCCTCCATCTTGAGTTTCTTCCGGGAACACGTCACAATATTCCTCATTATAATAATTCATACGCAGAATAAAGGGGCGGGGCCTGGTTGAGTTAGTAAGTAGTGTGTTAAACTGGCGGTTATGGAAAGGGGCGGGACTTTCCCAAACACACTCGAAGCGCTCGACCAATCACAACACACCGATCCAGCCGACCAATCAGAGCACAGTGTGCTTTTCAGGAGGAGAGACAGGAAGTAAACAGAGCGTTACTGACAGACTGGGAAGAGAGGAGCCGCAACAATGGAGAATATGAGGAGAATAATCAACATTCAAGCAGGAAAACCTGTTCTAGTCGAGCCTGAAAACAAGAATTTGTGAAAGGGCGTAATAAGGCCTAATTAAAAAGGACTATTGATTTCTTAATGAGTCAGTTTGCTCAGCACACTTCACCTGAAACCCGACACCAGGCGTTTCCACTGCAGATCATTATGCTGTGTCACGATTACAAGACTAAAAAAGCCACAACAAACGAGTCTGTGCTGCGACTGAAATGTTCTTCTGTAACATGAAAGATGCTTAAAAGACCATTTCATTGTTGCTTTGTAACTGTTTTTCTTCATTGATTGTATGCATTTTCTGGTGTTTATATCAATATCTTCTCTACATGCACTTCATAAATATTCATAAATGTATGAATACATACTACACATACATTTGCATGCGGTTTTTGATATTTGTTGTTATGATTATACTGTTTTTTTATTAGTTTGATGCAGGGTTATTATTGTTAACTATAACTAAAACCATAAAAAACATTCATTACTTGAAATAAAATAAAACGTTAACTGAAATAAAAAATGTATTATTTATAATACATTTATTTTATTTAGTGTTTTTATTTAGTATTTTATTTACTTAATGTACTAAAATAAAATTGATAAAAACCACATAGAACTATTAAAAAATATATCAAAATCATGACTACAATTTTAACTAAAATTAAAATGAAACGGTATTAATAAAAATTATAATAGTATCTTAATGATACTAAAATAGGTTTGATGTAGTCATTTACATTTCTCATATATATTAATTGCACTGTAATATGAATTTGCATTTCCTTGCTTTTCATTGTATATATTTTATATTGTGCAAAAATAAGCTAACATGCGAGGTACGAACTAAAACAGTTCAATAACGCTGTAAAATCACAGATGAACTGTTGAATTGAATTAATCTCATAACTCAAGTTATTATAAACTCAAGATCTTCATTCTTTCCATTGTCCGGACAGGAACTCAGGATTTCCCAACGCCCTGTAAATAATCAAGTAGAAAATTCCCCAATATTTGGCAAGTTTGGACTGACACGTCAGAGTGGACCTTGTCTATTTTGAAGATAAAAACCTGTTTGGATGATTGAATAGAAGTTGTGTTAAAATACGTAAACAGAGAGTCATGTGACACACGTCACGGCTGCTGGTCGTTCGGTCTGACCGCGAGTGTCCATGACATCATCAGTAATTAGCAGTGTTTAGCGTCACAAGACGAGTGTGAACGTGTCAAACATCAGTGCGTTCAGTCTCGTGTGTGTTACGTGTGAAGCTGTAGTTCACCTAACGGCCTCTGGTGTCGCTATAACAACTACATAAAGCCTCTTTAACCCTCCGATGCTCTTCGTCATTTTTGAGCGAAAATTTTTACATTTTGTTTCATTTTTTACTTTATCGGAATGGTATGAAACTTGGTAAAGGTTTTTGCACTTGCTGTGTGAACACAAAAACATGGACGTGATTCCAACAGGTTAAATGGTCCTGAGAAAAATCGTCACACTTGTGTTTCTCGCGGTCAGAAATGACGCATTGGAAATGAATGGAGAGTTTCCTCTAGTGGAAGCGTGTGGTACTGCAGCCGAACACACTCTCACTGAACGCTCGTCTACTGAGATATCAGCCTCACATGTGGAGCACGACTTGTTTAGATTTATGGCTTTGATTTTCTTGCAAGTTTTAGAGTAAAACGTGATTTTGAACAAATATAATTTTACATTTTTACATGAAATTTTCATAACGATAAACGTAAAATTCTGTTTGTTTTTCAAGTTCACTTTTAAAAACTTTTTACACTTCAGCAGTAATCCGCCGAGTGTCGTCTATGAAAAGAGATCTGTCGCTCTAAAGCGTTCGAGATTTACCACAGTTTAAGTTTGGAAATGTAATTCTATGCTCAAAAAGTGAATAAATGGATTATAAATACAGTGTAAATATAATTTAGAGCCATAAAATCCCCTAAAAATACAAAATATTAAATAAAAAAACATTATCGAACTAAAATATAGTACATTAATTTCATTAAAAAAAAAAAAAAAAAATCGGTCATTTTTGACCGACACGCGAAGAGTGTGTAATTTCTGCTTCAGCAATCAAACCTAAGACCTATGACACACACACACACACACACACACACACCTTGACGCTGCGCAGCCCCTTCTCAAACAGCGACAGCATCTCGGAGAGCTTATTGTCGGCGTGGACATGATAGACCATCTGACTGCGTTCCTGCAGGAGCTCGATGATGCATTTGTTCTCGATCTGCTCGTGCATCTTGAACTCCTTAAAGGTGGCGAGGAGCGACTGCAGGAACGAGCGGAAATCCCTGTTGTTGGAGAAGTTGGTCTTGGAAAGCTGTGGGTGGAAAACACACGAAACATCAGGGACTGGAGAGTTACTGACGCACGAACGTAAACCAGATCTGCCCAGGAAAACTAAATCAGTTACATATGAAAGAGGCGGGTTAATACGGACTGATATATCGTAAACAAATATATATATTTTAACAAAGCCCCGAAAGGAACCGTGGAAGAAATATGGTATGGGAGGAAAGTATGAAAGTTCTGCGTTATCTCGCGAAAATTTTGCGTTTTGTCCCAAAAGATTTGTGTTCTCTCCCGAAAGTTCTGTGTTCTCTCCCGAAAGCTTTGCGTTCTCTCCCGAAAGCTTTGCGTTCTCTCCCCCCGAAAGTTTTGCGTTCTCTCCCGAAAGCTTTGCGTTCTCTCCCCCCGAAAGTTTTGCGTTCTCTCCCGAAAGCTTTGCGTTCTCTCCCCCCGAAAGTTCTGCGTTCTCTCCCGAAAGCTTTGCGTTCTCTCCCCCCGAAAGTTCTGCGTTCTCTCCCGAAAGCTTTGCGTTCTCTCCCCCCGAAAGTTCTGCGTTCTCTCCCGAAAGCTTTGCGTTCTCTCCCCCCGAAAGTTTTGCGTTCTCTCCCGAAAGTTCTGCGTTCTCTCCCGAAAGCTTTGCGTTCTCTCCCCCCGAAAGTTTTGCGTTCTCTCCCGAAAGCTTTGCGTTCTCTCCCCCCGAAAGTTTTGCGTTCTCTCCCGAAAGCTTTGCGTTCTCTCCCCCCGAAAGTTTTGCCTTCTCTCCCGAAAGCTTTGCGTTCTCTCCCCCCGAAAGTTCTGCGTTCTCTCCCGAAAGCTTTGCGTTCTCTCCCCCCGAAAGTTCTGCGTTCTCTCCCGAAAGCTTTGCGTTCTCTCCCCCCGAAAGTTTTGCCTTCTCTCCCGAAAGCTTTGCGTTCTCTCCCCCCGAAAGCTTTGCGTTCTCTCCCGAAAGCTTTGCGTTCTCTCCCCCCGAAAGTTCTGCGTTCTCTCCCGAAAGCTTTGCGTTCTCTCCCCCCGAAAGTTTTGCGTTCTCTCCCGAAAGTTTTGCGTTCTCTCCCCCCGAAAGTTTTGCCTTCTCTCCCGAAAGCTTTGCGTTCTCTCCCCCCGAAAGTTCTGCGTTCTCTCCCGAAAGCTTTGCGTTCTCTCCCCCCGAAAGTTTTGCGTTCTCTCCCGAAAGTTCTGCGTTCTCTCCCGAAAGCTTTGCGTTCTCTCCCCCCGAAAGTTTTGCGTTCTCTCCCGAAAGCTTTGCGTTCTCTCCCCCCGAAAGTTTTGCGTTCTCTCCCGAAAGCTTTGCGTTCTCTCCCCCCGAAAGTTCTGCGTTCTCTCCCGAAAGCTTTGCGTTCTCTCCCCCCGAAAGCTTTGCGTTCTCTCCCGAAAGTTTTGCGTTCTCTCCCCCCGAAAGTTTTGCGTTCTCTCCCGAAAGTTTTGCGTTCTCTCCCGAAAGTTTTGCGTTCTCTCCCGAAAGCTTTGCGTTCTCTCCCCCCGAAAGCTTTGCGTTCTCTCCCGAAAGCTTTGCGTTCTCTCCCCCCGAAAGCTTTGCGTTCTCTCCCGAAAGCTTTGCGTTCTCTCCCCCCGAAAGTTTTGCGTTCTCTCCCGAAAGCTTTGCGTTCTCTCCCCCCGAAAGCTTTGCGTTCTCTCCCGAAAGCTTTGCGTTCTCTCCCCCCGAAAGTTCTGCGTTCTCTCCCGAAAGCTTTGCGTTCTCTCTCCCCGAAAGTTCTGCGTTCTCTCCCCCCGAAAGCTTTGCGTTCTCTCCCGAAAGCTTTGCGTTCTCTCCCCCCGAAAGTTTTGCGTTCTCTCCCGAAAGCTTTGCGTTCTCTCCCCCCGAAAGCTTTGCGTTCTCTCCCGAAAGCTTTGCGTTCTCTCCCGAAAGCTTTGCGTTCTCTCCCCCCGAAAGTTCTGCGTTCTCTCCCCCCGAAAGCTTTGCGTTCTCTCCCGAAAGCTTTGCGTTCTCTCCCCCCGAAAGCTTTGCGTTCTCTCCCCCCGAAAGCTTTGCGTTCTCTCCCGAAAGCTTTGCGTTCTCTCCCCCCGAAAGTTTTGCGTTCTGTCCCGAAAGTTTTGCGTTCTCTCCCCCCGAAAGTTTTGCGTTCTGTCCCGAAAGTTTTGCGTTCTCTCCCCCCGAAAGTTTTGCGTTCTGTCCCGAAAGCTTTGCGTTCTCTCCCGAAAGCTTTGCGTTCTCTCCCCCCGAAAGCTTTGCGTTCTCTCCCCCCGAAAGCTTTGCGTTCTCTCCCCCCGAAAGCTTTGCGTTCTCTCCCGAAAGCTTTGCGTTCTCTCCCCCCGAAAGTTTTGCGTTCTGTCCCGAAAGTTTTGCGTTCTCTCCCCCCGAAAGTTTTGCGTTCTGTCCCGAAAGCTTTGCGTTCTCTCCCGAAAGCTTTGCGTTCTCTCCCCCCGAAAGCTTTGCGTTCTCTCCCCCCGAAAGCTTTGCGTTCTCTCCCCCCGAAAGCTTTGCGTTCTCTCCCGAAAGCTTTGCGTTCTCTCCCCCCGAAAGTTTTGCGTTCTGTCCCGAAAGTTTTGCGTTCTCTCCCCCCGAAAGTTTTGAGTTCTCTCCCGAAAGCTTTGCGTTCTCTCCCCCCGAAAGTTTTGCGTTCTGTCCCGAAAGTTTTGCGTCTCTCCCCCCGAAAGTTTTGCGTTCTGTCCCGAAAGTTTTGCGTTCTCTCCTGAAAGTTTTGCGTTCTCTCCCCCCGAAAGTTTTGCGTTCTCTCCCCCCGAAAGTTTTGCGTTCTCTCCCCCCGAAAGTTTTGCGTTCTGTCCCGAAAGTTTTGCGTTCTCTCCCCCCGAAAGCTTTGCGTTCTCTCCCGAAAGCTTTGCGTTCTCTCCCCCCGAAAGTTTTGCGTTCTCTCCCGAAAGCTTTGCGTTCTCTCCCCCCGAAAGCTTTGCGTTCTCTCCCGAAAGCTTTGCGTTCTCTCCCCCCGAAAGTTTTGCGTTCTGTCCCGAAAGTTTTGCGTTCTCTCCCCCCGAAAGTTTTGCGTTCTCTCCCGAAAGCTTTGCGTTCTCTCCCCCCGAAAGGTTGTCGTTCTGTCCCGAAAGTTTTGCGTTCTCTCCCCCCGAAAGTTTTGCGTTCTGTCCCGAAAGTTTTGCGTTCTCTCCTGAAAGTTTTGCGTTCTCTCCCCCCGAAAGTTTTGCGTTCTCTCCCCCCGAAAGTTTTGCGTTCTCTCCCCCCGAAAGTTTTGCGTTCTGTCCCGAAAGTTTTGCGTTCTCTCCTGAAAGTTTTGCGTTCTCTCCCGAAAGTTTTGCGTTCTCTCCCCCCGAAAGTTTTGCGTTCTGTCCCGAAAGTTTTGCGTTCTCTCCCCCCGAAAGTTTTGCGTTCTGTCCCGAAAGTTTTGCGTTCTCTCCCCCCGAAAGTTTTGCGTTCTCTCCCCCCGAAAGTTTTGCGTTCTGTCCCGAAAGTTCTGCGTTCTGTCCCGAAAGTTTTCCGTTCTCTCCCGAAAAGTTTTCCGTTCTCTCCCGAAAAGTTTTCCGTTCCCTCCCGAAAAGATTTCCGAGTCCCGAAAAGATTTCCGTTCTCTCCCGAAAAGATTTCCGTTCTCTCCCGAAAAGATTTCCGTTCTCTCCCGAAAAGTTTTGCGTTCTCTCCCGAAAAGTTTTGCGTTCTCAGTGATATAGAGATAATATGATACAGAGATTTAATGTAAGACTCAAATGGCATCAATAAATTGAACGGTTAATAAAATATTGGTCATAGACATTTCTAGATCAGAGGTTTTCAAACTGAGGTCCATGGATAAAAAGAAATAATTAAAATAAATAAGATCTAACTAACTAATAAAATAAATTGATTAAAATAAACAAATGATTAAAATTAATAAAAAATAAAAAAACGATTTAAATAAATAATATAGCAGTACAGTACAATAGTGAATTGGGAAAAAAGAATAATGTACCATTTAAAACTAAATATTTAACAAATAGTAATTTACGCATACTTATAACATGAAATTTTCCCAGTATAAATTACGTCTTAATACATATTAATATATAGCTGGCTTTTAAATTTTAGGATGGCGGTCCCTGGCACAAAGATGATCATATCCGAAAGATTGAAAACACTCGCTCTAGTCTAAACAACGGCATCAGCGTCGGCCATTATAGACTCAGAGCATTAGTGTTATATAACACTGGATGTGTGTCAAATGTTAAACGAGTTCAGATGAGTGTGTAGATGCACGAAACATTCTACTGACACAGCAAACACACACACACATTTGTGTCTTACATAAGCAGTGTGTGTGACTTACAAACATAGGCTGAACTGAAGCTACACACCCACTGAAACCATTAAAACCAACATAATCTCCATGCAAACCTGTTCAGATTAAAGTACAGTAATCAGACTGACTCAGACTAATAAACCATCTCACTGCACGGCACTTTAACACCTCAGATCTCAATTTCAGACGTTTATAAATGAATTTAAAGTCAAATACATTAATCAGCGAAGCATATTAAAGTGTGTTTTCAATCTAGAAATGATCTGACTATAGATCAGATACACTGAACGTGGTGTAATCCACATCTGTGTGGATGTTTAACACATATTACAAGGGTTAGGATGCGTTTAGAAGTTAATGCTGTGTTAGGAAATCACTATATAACACAGATCAAAAAAATAATTGTTTTTAATATACGTCACAACAACATTATCAGACGCAGCATATTTCCACATCTCACGTGGTGTCTGCGTGTTTATATTATTATTATTAGTAGTATTATTCAATACAAAATAGAGTGTGTTTACATATCTGAGATCAGATTGTGGATCAGACATTCACAGTAAATGCAACATCGGCTTATTATTGTGTTTATATTGCATTTAATAAAGTCTGTTTACGTACAGATCTGAGATCAGACACTCTCATACTCTGGCTATAAGCTCACATATGGTCAGAGTGGGTTAAAAACTTAACAACATATAGATAAAGATAGCGCCTCTGTGCTGATCTGCGATCAGATCGTTATCAGACGTGTATTATAAACTCTGTTCTCTGTCTATTAGCCGTTTGGCTAACACTAACGTTAGCTCTCCTCAAACAAACACATCCTCGGACCGCTTAAAACCACTTTAATTGGTGAAATGACCGATAAAACAGGTCAGACACGAACCTTCTCGCTGTAGAGCTCCACCAGCTGCTTCATGCGCCAGTGTGGCCCGGTAAAAACATCCACCTCGTCGGGGAAAGGAGCCATCGCGACTCCATCCGCGGCTCCGGGACTGAACACTGCGGGGGAGGCCAGATCCTCGCCGGGGAAACACTCCTCGAGTGACGACAAACCAGTCATTTCAGTATGAAAATAAGGTGCAGCTTTCCAAGAGAGCCTTATTTTATTAACAAAAAGCGTGAAATTTTACAATGTTTTCCACATTATCTCCAGCTTGTTTGTTTTTTTTGTTTGTTTCAAAGTCAAACTCTGAATACAACCTCCTCTCAGTCACAGTCACACCAAAGGCAGATTTGCTTCAAAAAGTTGAGGAAGGATCAATAATAAACCAAGGAAAACCTGATAATCTACTGAGGAGGAGGAATAGTTAGCTTTCCTAATTCTTTTGATAGTCCACAAGGCACCTGAACTGTTTATTATGTTGTAGGCTACTTGAAGTGTGTACTCGTGTAGGCTACTTTTGTGTTGTACTTGTTAATATAGATCTATACTTGATGATACCGATACTATCCTGAGTGTATAATAAAGGCTGGATGATCAACAGAAAAATAAAAATAAAAATAAAAAAAACCTCCTCGGAAAAAAATAACAAAATTAATAAAATAAAATAGGCATCGTGGCATAAGTGCACTGCACACATGTATTAATAAAGTGTTACATAAAATAAAAACTGCACAATGAAAAATAAAATCTACATTAATAAAATAACATAAAGTGAAATAAAACAATAATATATATTTTTAAGTAAAATAAACCATCCTCTAGGGAAAAAAAAAACGATTCACAGTGAAAAACAAAAATCTACGTTAACAAAATAAAAATTAAACAACAATGACATTAAAAAAAAATAAAATAAAATAAACCCTACTCTGGGAGCTTGTTTCCGACACAGAGTAAATAAAATAAAAACTTTTTATCTCGCAATTCTGACTTTATAACTCACAATAGTGGGTTTAAATCACAAAATTCTGGCTTTATAACTCACAATAGTGGGTTTAAATCACAAAATTCTGGCTTTATAACACCATTGCAACTTTATATTTAGCAATTCCGACTTTATTACTCGCAATTGCTCTTTTATATCACACGATTCTGAGGAAATAAAATCACTCAGAATTGCATGATATAACCTGGCAATTACCTTTTTTATTTTTTATTCTGTGGCGGAAGCAAGCTTCCATGAAAAACTAATAAAAAGGTTTCAGAAAAAAAATTCGTAATGCAATAAGAAAAGTCATTATGTATGTGCATACATTAATAGAGTGTTACACTACGAAACATTATTAGTAGCTAGTAGTGGCATGTGTTAACAACTTTAAACTGTATAATCAACAAAACTACGAACATAATAAAGACAAATCTTAGCGACTTTCCACAGAAATCATATACAGATGAGATAGGGTTTAATAAATGTGCCATTTCGAGAATTCAGAGGATCTTCAAACCAACATGGCAACCCAGATGACGTCATTACGTCTACGTGCTCAGTGACACGTTCAAGACAGACGTGTAAACACATGCGCACTATTTAAAAACTTATTAAAAACCGCATCAAATGTAATTTAATAACGTATATGTGTATATAGAACATGAACAAAACAACATTACATAAAAGCTAACACTATTTACAATGCTAAAAACTGCTTTTTTATATTGAACGAATGCGGTGCATTGATTACACAACAACAAACCAGATATTTTTAGAGACAAAGATTTTATTTACGGCAACAAAATCATGATATTCATCTGTTAAGTAATAAGACAAGGTGCAAGTTGAAAATACAAACAAACAAACACAAAGTTATACTAAAGCTCTCACCTTACAAACATATTGTAAATATTGTTTGATTAAACATGTAAGGAATTTGATCTCAAGAGAGAAACCAAACATTTTTTAACTTTACCAAATCCTGCCACATGATGACCAGAGTACAAATATCGAATAATCGACATTCAAAAACAAATAAGGAATGAGAAGCAGTCAAAAACAAGTCAGAGAAACCCGATATGTGCACTTATAGTGTTTGAGCATTGCAAAAATGTACTATTTATAGTATTTTTGACTTGTTTTCCAGTACAAATATCTAAATATTTTTAAACCAATATATATTCACTGGAAAAGCAAAATGACTTAAGATCTTAACTCTAGCTTTCTGAAAAATTAAGCAAAATGAAGTGAGTTTATTATTAAAACAGGAACAAAGTCAGAAAAATAAGATTATTTTTCTGACCCCCACAGACAGATTTTTGTTCATGTTTTAATCATAATTAAAAATCATAATTTTGCTTCTCCAGTAAATGTGTCGTGATGATATTTGTACACGATTAAAAAAAAAGAAATCTCCAGCTTTTTGAGTTTTGGTTTGTATTTACACCTCTGAAAGAAGGCCATTCATGGCAGAAATTAGTCAGGAAGAAAAGATAAATCAGCAAAACTACATCTGATTTACGTGTTCTCGCTAACTATGATCAGAGAGAGGAACCTTTTCTTAGTTACTGTGCATGTCGGCACCTCACCGAACGAATCCCTCGACTGCTAAAAATCACATTTCATTCGTGTTTATGATAAACGTTCTCATAGAACAATGAAACGGATTTCATTTGCTGTGTCCTCCACACCAGAGGGGGCGCTGTTGCGGTTTAGCTGTCGTCCTGCAGCATCTCCTCGATCTCACGGTCCCAGTTATCGTCTCGATTATCCGGGTCGACGACCACCTCGTATTCCTGAAGCTCCTGCTGCAGTTCCTTCTCCCAGTCGGCAGTCTCTTCTATCGGAGAAACAACACAACTCTTCGGTCAAAAACGGACGAAAAAATTTAACGTTTTTTAAATTTTAATTTTTTCTTCTTCATCGGAATGGGATGAAACTTGGTGACTTGTGTCGCATTAGCTATGTGAACACACAAAAAAATCACGGACATGATTCGGATTTGTTAAAGGGTCAAAAAAAAATAATCAAAATGGCCGACATACGAAATTAATGGGAAATACGAAAAAATACGAAAACTCAGAGAATCGTTTGGTGGTAAAAACTACAAATCAGCCACTGTGCACAGCAATGAAGGAGTGACGCTCTTAAACATCAAGAGTGAACTAGCGCAACTATGACACGGAGCAAGTTTGGCAAATGTGTGAAATAAAATCAATAATTCAGCCACAATGCAGTAAAGAAAATAAACAGCAAAGAAGAGGTTAAACAAGAGACAAACACACACACATAAACTGGTGTGGCTGTAACGATATGGTCAAATTGAGCCAAAAGACTCAAATAAGGTTAAAGACACCCACTCAAACACACACACACACACACACACACACACAAATAAACTGGTGTGGCTGTAACGAAGAGGTTGAAATCAGATCAAACCCAGATTGATTGAGCCGTGATGAAGCATACCTGTTCATTGTTGTTACATTTTTATTGAATTTTGATTTTTTTCTGTGTTCAGGTAGTAAAATTAATGCAAAAACTGACACTTCAAATCAACATTTCGAACAAAACTAAATCTAAACTAAATCTAAACCTAGACAAACAGTAGTCTAATAATAATCCAAATAAAAACTTAATAAAAGTAAGTAATTATGTCTAAAAACCACTAGAGAATGTTTAAGCCTCTTTATATATAGAGCTATACAGGCGACATCTAGTGGTTAAATCACTTTTATTTTATTTTATTTCTTACACCCACTGATCTGCCTTCAACAAATTGGATTTTAAATGCCTCGTCTCCATTTTAACATGGAATACTGCTTTAATTGAAAAAAATATAGTAGAAAACAAATTGTGTATTATTTTCAACACTTCTTACTCAGTGTTTCTGTCTTGTTTCCAGTCCAAATATCTAAATTCTTAAAGGAACACTCCGACTTTTTGGGACTTTAGCCTATTCACCTTATCCCCCAGAGTTAGATAAGTCCATACATACCTTTTTCATCTCCGTGCGTGCTGTAAGTCTGTTTGACGCACCCACCGCTAGCCTAGCTTAGCACAAATACTGGATGTAAATGGTTGCAGCTAGCACACTAATCCAAATAAGTGACAAAATAGCGCAAACATTTTCCTTTTACATGTTGTGATTTGTATAGTCACAGAGTGTACAAAAAACTACGTCACATGAGACACAGACATATTTTAACCGTATAAATACTGGGAACTATATTCTCTGAAGGCGAAGCACTGCTACTTGGGCGGAGTGATAACCGCAGCACCTGAGACGTACCGTACCCAAACTCTGAACGAACTCTCTGCTCCTCACCACGGCGCGTCTCAGGTGCTGCGGTTATCACTCCGCCCAAGTAGCAGTGCTTCGCCTTCAGAGAATATAGTTCCCAGTATTTATACGGTTAAAATATGTCTGTGTCTCATGTGACGTAGTTTTTTGTACACTCTGTGACTATACAAATCACAACATGTAAAAGGAAAATGTTTGCGCTATTTTGTCACTTATTTGGATTAGTATGCTAGCTGCAACCATTTACATCCAGTATTTGTGCTAAGCTAGGCTAGCGGTGGGTGCGTCAAACAGACTTACAGCACGCACGGAGATGAAAAAGGTATGTATGGACTTATCTAACTCTGGGGGATAAGGTGAATAGGCTAAAGTCCCAAAAAGTCGGAGTGTTCCTTTAAATCAAGATGCATTCACTAGATGAGTAAAATGATGTAAGATATTATGTCCTGTTTTCTGGAGGAATTAATCAAAATTAAGTGAGTTGATGCTTAAAAAAAGCAAAATTATCTGCCAATGGGGTGAGAAAAATAATCTTGATTCAAACAGAAACATTATTTTTCTCACTCCATTGGCAGATAATTTTGCTTTTTTTAAGCATCAACTCACTTAATTTTGATTAATTTCTCCAGAAAACAGGACATAATATCTTATATCATTTTACTCATCTAGTGAATGCATCTTTATTTAAGAGTTTTTAGATATTTGGACTGGAAACAAGACAAAAATACTGAGTAAGAAAAGCATTTTTTTGCAGTGAATGGTGGAAAATAACTCATAAAATTGTATAAATATTGCATAGTATCATAAAATCCCCCCAAAATTCGAAATAATACGAAATAACAAAGAAACATTGGTTTTTCC